GGCACACAGTCTGTTCAAGTCCCTGCTTTCAGTTCTTTTGAGTTTGTACCCCGAATTGGAATTGCTGGATCATATGGTAATTTTTTTTTTTCTTTTTAGTTTTTAAGGACCTGCCATACTGTTTCCATAGCAGCTGTACTGTTTGACATTGCCACCAACAGGGTACAAGGGCTCTAATTTTTCCACATCAGTCACCAGTACTTGTCATTTTCTGGATTTGTTTTGTTATTGTTTATAATTACCATTCTAATGGGTGTAAAGTAGGCGTGGTTTTGATTTGCATTTCTTTTTTCTTTCTTGATGGTGATATCTACAGCACAAAATAGTTTTGATTTTGATGTTCAATCTGTCGATTCATTGTTGCTTGTTCTTTTGGTATTACATCCAGGAAACCATCGCCTAATCTACACTTTGTTTTCTTCTAAGTGTTCTGCAGTTTTAATGGTCACAGTTAGGTCTGTGATCCCTTTTGAGTCAGTTTTTGTTCATGGTATCCTTTGAATTTGGATAGCCCCTTGTTCCAGCACCATTTGCTGAACAGACTTTCCTCACCTCAGTCTTGCGTTGCCTTGGCACTGTTGTCAGATCAGTGGCCATAAGTGTGCAGCTTTATTTCTGAGCTCCAGTGTGTTGTATTGATCTCTCCTTATGCAGTACTGTCCTCTCTTGGCTGCCGTAGCTTTAGAGCAAGCTCAACACTGGGAGGGTTGACTGAGTGTGAGTGCTCGCCCATTGGAACTAGCATGGTGTGTGGTCAGGCCCTGAGGTGATCCCTAGCCCTGGGAAGACCAGCAAATAAACAATAAAATCGGGAGATTACGTCCTTCAGCTTCACTCTTCTTTCCTTCTCCTTGCTTATTATTTATTTATTTATTTATTTTCAGTTCCAGGAGTTGAGCTCAGAACCTTGTTGGTACTTGGAAAATGTTTTGTCTCTCTGTCTCTTTTCGTTTATCTATGTGTATGAGCAGTCTGCCTGCATGTATGTCAGTGTTGTGCCACATGCATACCTGGTGCCCTCTGAGATCCCAAGAGGACTTTGGATCCCCTAGAACTAGAATTACAGATAACTCTGAGCCCCATGTGAATGCTGGGAACCAAACTCCGGTTCTCTTCAAGAGTAGTGATTGCTCTAACTGCTGAGCCATCTCTCCAAGTGCTCTCTTTGAGAAACAGCCCAGTCCTTGGTTTTTGTTTCTTTGAGTATTTTTTTCTATTAAAATTAGCATAATTGACTTATTTATTTTATTTTATTTTTTGGCTTTTCGAGACAGGGTTTCTCTGTAGCTTTGGAGCTTGTCCTGGAACTAGCTCCTGTAGACCAGGCTGGCCTCGAACTCACAGAGATCCGCCTATCCCTGTCTCCCGAGTGCTGGGATTAAAGGCGTGCGCCACTACTGCCTGGCTTATTTTATTTCTTTTAGATGGGGTCTCACTGTTTTTACACTACATAAACCATGCTAGCCTTGAACTCAAAGAGATCCACACGCCTCTGCATCTCAAGTGCTGGGACTAAAGACGTGAGCTACCACATGAGCAGCTAGGCCTTGATTTTTGAGACAGTTTTATTTTGTAGCCCAGGCTAGCCTCAAGCTCTCAATCCTCCTGTGTTTGGATGTATGTAACCTGTGTATGTGACCACACTTACCTGATTCTCTTCCTCTTGTTTGTTTCAAAATCTGTTCTTGACTGTCTTTGCCCTCTTGGCATTTTTTATGGATTTCATAATGTTTGTACGACTCTCCCAGAGAGACACCTGACATTCTTAGAGAGCCTGAATTGGCTGTACATGATTTGGGAAGTGCTGCTCACCTACTGGTACTGTCTTCTGAGTGGATGACTTTACATTCGTGTGGGTTTGTTTGTTCATTCCTAGCATCTAGAAATAAAAATGATTTTTGCACATTGCCTGTGTACCCTGCCACCTTTGTAAATGTAGTTTCTCATGCATTCCTCAGATGTTGCATGCACAAGCCCCTGATGTTGGAACACAGTTTACCTCTTCCTTTCCAATCTGGATGTGTTTGATTACTTTTTGTGTTCAAGTCTCCTATGGGAACCTCAACTACAATGATGAATACAAGCGGCAAGACACCTGTCTTGCTCCTCATCGAAGAGGGAAATGAGTCATTTGTTTACCATCGAGTACAGTGTCCCTGCCGGTTCTTTTGTCAGAATGAGAATGCTCCCATCTATTCCTAGTTGCAGTGTTTAGTTTAATCGTGAAAAGGTATTTGATTTTGAGCTGGAGAAATGGCTCAGAGGTTAAGAGCACTGGCTGCTCTTCCAGAGGTCCTGAGTTCAATTCCCAGCAACCACATGGTGGCTCATAACCATCTGTAATGAGATCTGGCGCCCTCTTCTGGCGCGGGCATACATGGAGGTAGAATGTTGTATACATAATAAATAAATAAATATTTTTTTTAAAAAAAGGTATTGGATTTTGTGACTTTTTAAATATTTATTTATATATTATACAATATATATGTAGGCCATATATATGTAGGCCATATATATGTAGATGTCTAGCACCACCCTGGTTGACGCTGAGGATCAAACCCAGGACCTCACGCACACAAGACAAACATTCTTATCAACCAAGCTCCATCCTCAGCCCTATTATATTGAGTTTTGTTTGTTTGTTTTGCTTTGTTTTTAAGAGACAGGGTTTCTCTGTAGCTTTGGAGCCTGTCCTAGAACTCGCTTTGTAGACCAGGCTTATCTCAAACTCCTAGAGATCTGCCTGCCTCTGCCTCCCGAGTGCTGGGATTAAAGGTGTGAGCCACCACCACCCAGCTTGATTTTTAAATTAAATCAAGCTAAAATTTTTGGGTAAATGCTACTTGGTTTTTATATTTAACCTCTTTTATATATTGCTGGGTTCAACTTGCTAGTATTTTGTTGGGATTTTTTTTTTCTATATGTATAAGTGATATTGGTCTATGGTTTCCTTTTTCCATTTTCTTTAATTCTTTTGTCTGATTTTGGTAACAGGATAGTATTAGCATCATCTAATGAATTGAGAAGTGTTTCTTTTTCATTTTGGAAAGGCTTATGAAAAATCATAAATTCTCTGGTGTCAGTGGGGTCTGGTAAGGGTTTTTAATTATTAGTTCATGCTGTTTCTTACTTCCAGCAAGCTGATTATAGATATGGCAGTGAAAGGAGAGGGGGCTCAGGAGTGTGCAAGCAGGAGTGCAGAAACTTGAGGGTTTCTCACTAGCCCGCCTTCTCCTCCTCCTCTTTGTTCCTGGGGTCTCCTGATGAGTGAGCACTGTCGAAGTGTGGGCAGCTCCCCGTGCCTGTGTCTGCCTGGGAAAGATAGTTGGGTAATATCAGGTAACATGGGAAGGAGTTTAGAGTTCAGATCAAGACAAAAGACAATCAAGGGCAGAAGCTTCCAGACTTAGGCCTCGGTGTGCAGGCATGCATGGCATGTATGATGTGTTCTGCTTTGCCGTATGACACAGACGTTTAGCAAAGGAAGTTCTCTGCAGCAGATGTGAAATGAGCTCTAAGATATGTAACTGAGTGAAGTGTGAAAAAGTCGTGTATAATTCCATGTATGTTCAAAGGAAGAAAATGGAAAGCAGGGGGTGTAGCTCAGTTGGTAGAATGCTTGCCTAGCGTGCACAAAGCCTGGGCGCTCTCCAGCTAATGGTTAAAAGAACCTGCTGCTCTTCCAGAGGACTCAGGTTGGGTTCCCAGCACCCATGTCAGCCCATGGTTGTCTAAAACTCCAGTTCCAGGGGATCTGACACCCTCTTCTGACCTCCTCAGGCACCACTCGTCTAAGTGGAACCCGCTCTGTAGACCAGGCTGGCCTCGAACTCACAGAGATCCACCTGTCTCTGCCTCCCAACTGCTAGGATTAAAGGCGTGTGCCACCATCGCCTGGCTTCATGCACATTTTAAAGAGAAACCAACAGCTGGATGTGATGGCACATGTCTGTAATCTCAAGACTTTGAGGTGAAGACAGGAGGCTCAGAAGTTGGAGGCCCCACAGGGAGCTTGAGGGCAGCCTGGGAACCTGCTGGTGCACGTGAGCTGGCAAACACAGCACACTGTGAGCACTCAAGACAAGAGTTGGGGTGGGAGGGTACTTAGTACTACACGGAGTGCTCCCCTGTGGCTTTGCTGCCTTAAACATGTTCTGTTTGGTTTTTTGTTTTTATTTTTTGAGACAGTGTTGGCAGGTAGCCCAGGCTGGCCTCAACTCTTGCCTTAACCTCCTGAGAACTAGGGTTACACACATGTGCCTTCACTCTTGGCACTTGGTTTTTTTGTTTGTTTGTGTGAAGCATGATCCTGAGTCTGGGGTTAGTTGTTGTGCTCTCACGGAGGCAACCAGCCCTCAGCAGTCCTGTCTACTGAGGTGTGCAAGGCACGGTCCTGATCTCCTTTTCCCCGAAGTCTCCAGTGTTCCTCTGAAATCCCCAGATCTGCCTGTGGGAAACTGGCAGCAGATCTCCAAGGCTCTGAGGTTGAGTGCTCCCTTTCTGCACTGATTCACCAGAGCAGAAATCCCAGGGAGCTTTTCCACGAATTCCCACTGTTTCCAGCTTCCCTGCTTGCTGATGGTCCATTGGCCCCAGTGGAAAGCACCTCATCCTTAGCCACTTGATCATGCCCGTCCCCGTGTGTAAGGGTACTGGAGGAGCACAGCAGATGCTCAGTCTGGCCTTCCTGGGCCAAGTGACCATGCAACACCAGTAGCCTGTCCTTTTCAAGTGAAGGCAAACACACTGGGTCATCCAAGACCATTTGGTGTTTTGGGAGTAGCCGCAATTCTTCGCTTGTATTGGGAGTGGGCTCATCTGGCTGTTCTAGGAGGCTGGGAGCCTCCCTGGGGTGCATCTTGCTGTTCTAGGAGGCTGGGTAGCCTCCTTGGGGTGTATCTGGCTGTTCAAGGCCCTGCAACCTCCAAGCCTGGGCTTCTGAGATCAGGGCAGATTCCAGGGCTGGATCCAATGCTGAGGTTCCTGCTGTCTCTCCACAGAGAACACCTTCTGTAGCGGGGACCACGTGTCTTGGCACAGCCCTTTGGACAACAGTGAATCGAGAATTCAGCACATGCTGCTGACGGAGGACCCGCAGATGCAGCCTGTGCAGACCCCGTTTGGGGTGGTTACCTTCCTCCAGGTGAGACACCATCTGCTGCTTCAGGTGGTTCATCCTGGTGGGAAAGTCTAGAACAGAGGGGACTGTGAAGGGAGCGTGACAGGCAGGAGATGATGCCTCTTGGTCCTGTCTTCCCTGCCGTGGTCTGTATTAATTCAGATGGTCTGATTTCATCCTCTGCAATGCGAATGTAAGAGGGACATCCCAGCAGGAAGCCAGCTCCAGGCTTACCTCCTGTTTCCTCAGTGGGTGTGAATCTGCTCAGCTGCTGCCCATGCTTGCTTGCAGTTCTAATGAGGGGAAATTTTAGTTGTGTCCTAGAGATTCCCACAGACCTGCAGCTACTGTTGAAACAGCCGCCTGACCTCACCCTACTTCTAAATACCTGACCTGAGGGAGGATCTACTCTGATATGTATGATTCAAGCTGCCCTTAGTTTCTTCTGTAGCCAAGAGCTTGGTTTTGTGCTACTAGATACCTGCTCAGGCCTTGGTGCCTATCTCTGGACTCAGGGACCTTCCAGCTAGGTAGCACCTCCTGAAGGAGCCATCACATTTGGGGAACACCAGCCTAGAAACACAGACTGTATCTATATGCCCCCTACTTGAGATGTCCCTGAGAGAGCCTGGGTAGCTGGACATCTGGGAGGGATGGCCATAAAACACATAGCGTCTCGTCCTGGGCCACAGATTGTTGGCGTCTGCACTGAGGAGCTCCACTCGGCCCAGCAGTGGAATGGGCAGGGCATCCTGGAACTGCTGAGAACGGTGCCCGTGTGAGTACACGTCCCTCGAAGGTGGAGGCCTTAACCCCTGGGTCTTGGGGGTGGGCGTCCTCCCTCCATCCCTCCTGTCGGGTCCTTTGCTTTGCTGTTTGGGGCACTCATTTCCCTATGGTCCCTGGCTACTAACAGTGCCCTGTGTTGTGTGTTCTGGGTCTGGGACAGCAAACAAGAAAGGCTGTTGACTGATGTTCCGTCCAGACCCTCAGTTCCCACCGTCTCTCCTTGTTCACAGTGCTGGCGGTCCCTGGCTGATAACTGACATGCGGAGGGGAGAAACCATATTTGAGATTGATCCGCACCTGCAAGTATGTCTTGAGTGAGGAAAACCTTGCAAGCATTCTTCCAGATAACACTGGCTTTCATCCCGAGAAAATGGAGGAGCTGTGTGTGTGAGCCAGTAGAAATATGGCAGGGAACGTGTTCCCTGAGTTCTGCAGCCCATATAAGAAAACAGATTTCAGCCCAGAAAAGCAAGCCTGACACATGCATGTGTGCATTTAAAGAGAATGGATTTTATTGTATGTAAATTATATATCAACTTAAAATTAGCGCACTGCCAACAAAGGAAGGCAGTCGTAAGGAATGTTGCTTCCTTGCCCTGTGTTCCTTTCCCTGCTCCCCCTTCTTAGCACACATTTTTGGGGAGCCATCCTCCCTATGTCAAACAGCAGCACAGGCTAGGTTGACCCCACAGCCCAGTTGCAGGGTGAGTCTAGTGATCCAGCCATTGTGAAGGAGTCTTTAGACCCCGCCGTGGCTGCCTGGACAGTGGCATGTTCAGAAGAGATGCTCGTGTGGCACCCAGCTGGATTTTGGAAGTTACAGAACACTGCCGCATTTCTTGCATGCTTGTGCAGGGGCAGAAGCAGCAGGCCACACGTCTGCCTTGTTCTTTGGCTCCTTCTGCTCACCATGCCACTGGAGGCAGATCACGGCCCACACTTCTGTAAGGCTCTGGCAGGCCACAGCAGTGACTGGGCATTGTAAGTCATACAGTAGGGGAGAGACCTGTAAAGGAGTAGCTACTGACCTGTGAGTTCTTGAGCATACACCCTCTTCATTCGCAAATGAGACTCCTCCACTCTGCGGTACCTTTAATTCTAATGCTCACACTGCTGCCCAGATCTTTTGTTACCACTACTTTGAATTCACCTTCTGTGTAGCGTCTGTTTATGCAGGAGCCAGAAGCCATGAAGGCTCCATCCCTAAAGCCCTTGTTCTGCAGCCACACCGAGATTCAGTGTGGGGCATGGTAGGCTCTTGTTTGGCTCCTGTCATGAGTGCCAAGTGCTGCTTGAGGCTCTCTTGAGACCCCAGCCAGCAGGACCCATACCACTGACGGTCATTACCATCAAGCCAGAAGCCGGTGGGAGAAAATGTACCTTGCTTTCCCAATGGTTCTATGTACCAAGTGAGCTTTCTGGGGCCTGTTTGCCATTGGTTGTTTTGAAAGCTGGTTCATGTTCCTTTGATCTTAGTTTACTCCTACTGACCAGCTGTGTGCCTAAACGGGCCTGTCCTTCCACTACCTTTTTTTTTTCCTGACACTGGGTGCTAAATCTAGGATCTCATGCATATGAAACAAGACCTCTGCTCCATCCCCAGCCTAGCCCACATTTTACTTTTTGCGATGGGTTCTTACTAAGTTGCCTGGACTGGCCTCAAATTCACTCTGCACCCCAGCAGCCTCTTGAGTTGCTGGCATTATCACAGCAGCCATGGTTCTTTTTTTTTTTTTTTTCTTTTTCAGCCATGGTTCTTAACTCTTCCTTTTTACATTAAAAATAAGCAATCTAGGGGGCTGGAAAGATGGCTCAGTGGTTAAGAGCATTGCCTGCTCTTCCAAAGGTCCTGAGTTCAAATCCCAGCAACCACATGGTGGCTCACAACCATCTGTAATGAGGTCTGGTGCCCTCTTCTGGTCTGCAGACATACACACAGACAGAATATTGTATACATAATAATAATAATAAAGCGATCTGGACTAGTGGGGCCATGAACCAACTGTCCTTAGCATTGCCTCATGAAGGGTCTCAGGATAGCCATTGACAGGAAAACCCAGGTTCTCCCCCAGCAGCTCCTGCCTGCACACCCCATTCACCCTTGCTCATGCCTAGAGCACCTAGAGCTGTGGCTTGCCTGCTGTCAGCCTCACCCAGGCCGATGACAACACAGGAAGAAAGAAGAGTGGTAGGAGGCCACCTGTGCCCAAGGCTTAAGAACAATGCCCTTGTCTGGGAGCCCTGAAGAGGCTCAGTAAAGTGTAAGCTTCTGAGGTGCCTACATGACTGTTTAGCTGTTTATGGACAAGGCTGCTAGAGTCTTCCAGATGACCTTTGATCCAAAGCCCAGCACCACAGAACTATGTTTTACCAGAAAACCCAAGGATGTTTTTAGTACAACTCTTCCTTGAGGCCATTTGGAGAAAGTTTAGTCTGAACAGTGCCAATGTCTACACAAAGGCAGGGTCTCTCGGGGAAGCATGCAGCAGTTACTGCCCTCCAGACCCTCCATTTCAACCTAGGAAATGGAAAAGTACCCTATCCAGAGCCCTTCGCCAAAGTTAGCTGGCACCTATAGACAGAGAGCACTTCTGTTCTGGAATAATAGCCCCCTCTAGCTGTTATCATAGGGAACTGCAGGTATGGGTTCCCAGGTCTGGCCTGACTCACACCCTAACTCCTGAAAATGGGGTGGGCAATGCCCATTTTTGGAAAATCAGGAAGAATAGAAGGCTATGCCTTCCCTGAGAAAAATAGATTTTGTCTCTGCTGCATCAGCTTTGAGGGCTTTCAGGCTTTCAAAGGCCGTGGTGCTGGGGGTTGATGGGAAGGAAGCATCCATGGCATGTTCATTCCTCCTGGCTTCCCTGATCTGCTCCCCAGAGGAGTCCAGGGTCTCAGAAGCCACTGTGCATGCAATCAGAGAACAAAGTCAAAGACCCTGAGCTTGCAGCAGCTGTCCACACTCAACACCTCCAAGGCGTTGGAAGAATAGTGATTGGGTGTAGTGGTGACCTTGGGCCACCAGTTCTCTGAAGGAACTCTGACTCTTTGGTTCTTTTCAAGCAGGAGAGAGTTGACAAAGGCATCGAGACAGATGGTTCTAACCTGAGCGGTGTTAGTGCCAAGTGTGCCTGGGATGACCTAAGCCGACCTCCTGAGGACGATGAGGATAGCCGGAGCATCTGCATCGGCACACAACCCCGGAGACTCTCTGGCAAAGGTTGGGGCCTTCCCCTGCCTTCTCTGCTTGCTTCTCAGACTGCCTAGAACGAGTAGACAGTCCACTCATTTATTTTCTGACAAACACTTTTTTCCAATGTGGATGAACTGTATGAGTGTTATCGGCCTGCTTGTAGCTGTTTCCTGTGTGCATTTCAAGCGCACCAGTGGGAGCTATGTGGACATGCTGTTCCTTGGAATCTGAGGTCATGCATGTGAGTGGGAGCCATGGGACAGTTAACAAGAAAAGTCCACAGTCCACCTAAAGACAAGGCAGCAAATGTCCACCACCCACAGAACTGACACAGGTCCCAGTTCTGGCCAAACAGCCCTGTCAAGCCTGTGGATCTCCCTCCTTGGGCCTGCTTGGGCTTTTGACGAGAGTTCCTGAGTGTGAGCCCCCACATTGCCCTACACTGCACTTCAGGAGGCTATGGCAGGGTGCCCTGCTCCCACTGCCTCCAGGGAAGGTCTCAGACAAGGAGGATGTGGCTGTCCTGTTGGACGCTCCCCATGCTGGTCTTGGCTACAGAAGCACTTGTGGTTTTTTTTTTTTTTTCTTTTTTGCTAAGGCTGTCCCTAGCCAATGCCAAAGGAAAGCAACCATTTGCGTCCTTGTGGGAGGCTTTTTGTCTCCTTCTTTTGTTGGTTCTTCTGTCTTCTCATGCTTATTGAAGAATAAGACGCCTTCAGCCCTGAGTAAAATACCTGGCTTTGTGACTTTGTTTGCTTTAGCGATAGAGTCTCAGTAGGGCAGGCTGGCCTCTAACTTACTGTGTAGCCATGGATGACCTTGAGTTTCTGATCCTCCTACTTCCAATCTTCGAGGTGTTGGGTTTCCAGAAGCACCACACCTGGCTTTCTTTTTTTTTTTTTTTCTTTTCTCTTGGTGCTGGGGGTAGAAGCTAAGCTTAAGCACGGACTCTTCTGTAGAACTGTACCTCCACACTTCATGCCGTGTGTTGCCGTGTGTGAGCTGGAGAGATGGCTCGGTGCTTGGGAGTGCTGACTGCTCTTCCAGAGGACCTGGGTTCAGTTCCCAGCACCCACATGGCAGCTCACAGCTGTCCAGTTCCAGAGGACCCACCACCCATGGCAAAACACCAATGCATATGAAATAAAAAAGCAAATAAATAAATAAAAGAGATTTCTGAAAGGACAACTTAAGCCCCAGTGCAAACATCTGGCCCCCTCTCTACTCTCCAGCAGGAGGGGTTCACACTCAGCTGCCTTTGAGCAAAGACTGACCTAAGGAGAGGTTGGTGATCAAGTCCACAGTTACAGTCATCGTGGTTATTTTACTTATTGTTTATTTTTCAGACAAGCTCTCTTTCTCTCTGTGGCATAGGCTGGCTTCTAGTTTCCTGCCTCAAATGTCCCAGTCCTGGGATTAAAGAGACGCACCACCATGCCCAGCACTGTTGGTTTTTGGTTTTTGTGGGGTTTTGGTAAAGGTAATCAACAGCAAGTCACAGCAACACTGGTGGTCATCCCTTCCCTGCTAGTACTGCCCGCCCGCCTTTTCTTCTTTCTTTGTTTGGAGGCAGGATCTCATCATGTGTAGCCCAGGCTAGTCTCAAACTTGTCAAACTCGTATCTTTGCCACCTAGAGCTAGGACTACTGGTGTGTGCCACCATGCTGGCCTTTAGCCAACACACTGCTGTCCTAGGCTCTAGAGCAGGCTGGGAGGAAGGGCTGCTGGGAGCCCAGAGGGCCATCAGGCAACTTCGGGCTATCTTGCAGATACAGAGCAGATCCGGGAGACCCTGAGGCGAGGACTCGAGATCAACAGCAAACCTGTCCTTCCACCAATCAACCCTCAGCGACATAATGGCCTCACCCACGACCGTCCCCCGTAAGTGTCATGTTCCAGGGCTAAGACAAGAGGATGGTATTTTTCCTGAGGGGCTATAACCAAGGATTGCATGAGAGAGATCAGTGCACATAGTTCTGGGTGAAGGGACCTGGGGTCTCTGGGGTTAAGGATAGCCGTGGTCCAGGGACACACAGACCTGTGGTTGAAGGAAAGGTTCTCAAAGGGGACTCTGTAGAGCATGAATGTAAACAGCAGTAAATATTTATATGGGCTGTGTGAACAGACGAGAGTCCAGGTCAGGGCAAAATCTGACTGGGGGCCTCTGAGCCTTGTGGGAGCCCATTGTGCTAAGCCAGTCCCCTTATCTCAGCCGCAGTCAGAGTTGCCCTTCCTTCCTTCCTGGAGCCTGGGCTCTGGCTGATAGCTGCAACCCCTGGGACCTCCTTGTCTGGCCAGCCCTGCACTGCATGCCTGCTGCCGAGGCCCTTCTTCCTGCCTGCCTTTCCTGGGGCCCAGGGAAGGGAAGGGAAATCCTTAGCAGGCCTCTGCTGCCTGTCTCGGGGTCCTGTAGTCCTTGGGAGAAACCAGCCGACCACAGAGGTCAGATCTGCTTCCTTCCCACCTCTTCCTCTGTTAGGACGCAAGTGCAGAGCAAGGCTAGAGCTAGGAACCCTTCTCATCTAGTCTGGATGCCTCGGTGCTGACAGCTCAGAGCAAGAACCTGGCCTGCTCAGGAGATTGTTGGGCCTCAGGTGAAAATGGAGCTGGGCCAATCCTACACCACTAGGATGATCTGCCTGCCTTCTAAGAACCCTTTACTATAAGCTTGTTATGTGATAACCTCAAGTCCTGGGGGCCAGCTGGGATGTGCAGGCCTTCCTTTGGGGGGAACATGAATGAAACAATGAACTGTTCATGGCGAGTGCCGTCTGACTGCACATACAGTTTGTTGGAAGTGACCACAGCTTTGGAGTCAGGCCCCAGTTGCTGATTCATGATCCCCAGAAAGATGAGTGTTACTGCACACTACAGGAAAGATGCCATCATCTAAAGTAGGCAGTGTGTCTTGGAGAGAGAGGATCAGGGTGCACCCAGAACTGCAGCTAGCATGGGAAGCTGCTGAAGGATCTGAGGTGGGGGAGCCTGGCTGTTTAACACCAGTATGTGTCCTGGGAGCGGATTATGGTGTCAAGAGGGTTACTCTGAGCACCCTTCCATCCAGCGCAGCTCACAGGTATACCTGCCTTCCAGAGCTGGAAGAATTGAGCTCTCTAACAGCATGTAGAGGCTTCCATTGCCACTCAGCAGCCCTTAGCTGCAAGCCAATGACTTTCTTAGGTCACTCGTGTTTTGTCGTGGCAGTAGCAGATAGCCAAGCTGTGTCATGGGGCATCTGGAAGCTTTCCACCTGCAGTCTGGACCCTGACCCAGGACTGTACTCCCTAAGCCCCAAGTGTGGCTTCTTGCCCTGGGCTTCTCTGGCACTGGTGGCAGGTCAGAAGTGGACTTGTAGCCTCGAGTAGTTTGCTGAAAATGTAGCTGCTCCTCCCGCCTCTCAGAGGACGCCAGAGCTCTGACAGAGAGCTCTTGCAGAGATGCCCCTTGTTGCCTCTCTTTGACCTGAGACACGCCTGATATCTCGTTCTGTTTCTTATTTATATGTCTGGCTATTGTGCCCTAGACACTGCAAAGGGCACAGACCGGGCTCTCAGTTTCTGTAGACACAACTGGACAGTAAGGCAGCAGGGCTGGGTATTGGCAGAAGGCCGTCCCCTTTGCCCCTACTCTTTGCCCTCCATTGGCTGATACACAGAGATGGGTGAGAATAGATCAGAGGTGCGAACCCTCTGGAGTCTTCTGCCGTCCCTGCAGCTCAAGTGCCCAATCAGGAACCCAAAGCGCTGAAGTCTGGCATCTGGGGAGGGTGGGGGTCAGACCCTCTCCTGAGGTTCTTGGTCCTTGTTACCAATTTGCTAATAAGCAGTTGAGCAATGGTCCACGAAGACCGTTCTCCTGAGTGCCCTCAGCTCTCCTGGAGCCTAGGTCTCTGCTGTCTCAGGCTTGACAATAGCCAGATCGGCTGAGATTAGCAAGCACCATTGTAATATCTGTGCTGTCCACTCTGGGACCTGACCTCATTTCAGACTCACCATAAAGATGGTGACAGAGAAACCCGGCCCCAAATGTGCTGGAACCAGTGTTTGTCCTCCCCTGGGAGGCTGCCATCACAGCATGGGTCCTATTTTGTCTGCCTGTCCAGTTTCCCCTTAGTCAGGACTTTGGGCTGGGCAGCTCTGATGCATGGGTCTTTGTGGCTCTGGATGTGATCGAGGAGGTTATAGAGATGGGTTCGCTTAGAACAGCTGATCAGGCCTCGGCATCAGCAACTGGGTTCTGGCCTACTTGGGGAATTGGGTACTTGCTAATTTCATACATCCATAGCAGCCAACAGTTCATACCAATATTAATTCAATTCATCCCTGCAGCCACTGTGTGAAGTAAATAGTCTTATATTTTTTCCTTTTCCAGAAGAAACACTTGAGATGTAGGGTAAGCAGTTAAGGGTGATCTCAACAGGTGTGGCCTTCCTTGTCCTGTGCTCCGGGACCCTCTGAGGACCTGCAGGCCATGTCTCTGAGATAATAATGATCTCACTTGGGGAACTCGTGTAACTAACTGGTTGTAGCATGACTAGGGACAAGCTCTCACATGACACTGAGGACAAGCTAGGTCCACGTTAGATGACTGGGTGACTGGGTTTGTTTAGCTGTAAGGAGGACCTCTCATTAGCCCCGATGATTTTTAAAATAATGAGCTGTGTCATAGCTGGCTCGTTCTAAAACAGGCCTCATTTTCTTCTTCAGAAGCAAGCATAAACCTATCTCTGGCTCATATTCTACCTCAGGACCATGGGATTTCTTTCTTTTTGGAGGCCCTAGTTCCTGCTTCCCAGAAGGCAGCCCCTCTGGTAACCTGTTCTCCCCCCCCGCCCCCCGCTGTTGCCAGTCCTCCTCCCACTGCCTTCCTGGAAGGAGCGTCCTGGGCCCTCTTTGGGGCGTCTTCAGCAGTTTCACAACCCTTGCATTCCAGCCATGAAATTTGTATCTGCCTTTTCCCAAGATGATCAGTTGAGAAAAGCCTCCTTCGGCTTGCTGGCGCCTCCCTTCCCACTGCCTGCTTGGGTGAGTTTGGGAAGCAGCCCTTTGTGCCACATGAGGACAGCCTGGCCTAGAGCTGTGCCTGCCAACATTTGTTGGGATCCAGGGTGGGAGTCACTGGACGTTCTCTCTATCTGAGGTCCCGGGTCAGCCAGACTCTGGCATTAGCTAGCTCCCCAGCCTTTCCGTTGTGCTGGTAACATGTGGGCATGTGTGGTCAGGTGTGTGCGGGAAAGGTCTGTTTCTATAAGCTTCTGCCAGTGCCCTCTGCCTCACTTAGCCAGTGACTCACTTACTAAGAAGGGGAGTTCCAGAGGAACTCTCTGGGTCTCACATCTTCCCAAAGACGGGCAGGCATTGTGTGTGTTAGAGAGAGAAGGTAGTCAAGGGAGCTCTCAAAGGCAAACTTAGCCTCCCTGCTCAGCCAGGTCCCTATTCATCTAGAATAGCACCGGAAGTTTATGAGGATGCTTCCTGCTTCACCTCCTGGAGAATGATGCTGTCGTAGCATGAATTCTGTTGTGAGGGTCTATCTGTAAGATGCCCAAATACACACATATACACGGAGAGACAGGTACCTCTTCCTTTTTTCCTTCTTTCCTTCCTTCCTTCCTTCCTTCCTTCTTCCTTCCTCTTTATCTATTTCTGCTTAAGATGGGGTCTGTCTCTAGTCCAGGCCTCCCATGTAGTGGGATTACAGTAGGAGCACAATGCCCGCTCAGTTCTGCTCTGAAGTCTCTGCTCCCATTTGCTTGGCCTTCTGATGGGGTGATTTTCCTGCCTCTCACTCACTTCCATCTTGAGTAGTCTGTGCCCTGGCCGGGGACTAGTTCTTTAGAAAAAGTTGCTTGGTTTTGCTCAGCCCATGGGGCCCATGGGGTGTAATTAGCGTTCTGGTTTTCATCCATCCCACCAGTGGATTTGGGTGAAGGAAGGTGAGTTTCCTCCTAGGAAGGCAGCTGGTTGCTGTGGTGCCACTTTGCACACAGGACAGATTTAGATGACCCTGCTGTCAGGGTTGTGTGTTAGGGCAGTAGACAGCCTGGAGCCACTCTGTCACGGTGGCTTCACTCACAGTTCCCATACTGGCAGAGGACAGTCCTTTGCAATGGAGAACAAGCCCAGAAAGAAAGAACCCTGCTCTCAGGGCTGACAATAGGAAATGTCAGGGCCTCTCCGCTCACTGCTTGCTGAACCAGGGTCTTCCTTTTGGGTCCCTCATGTGAGCCAGGTTGTCCTGCTAAATATCTGTACTGCGTTTCTCAGAAAACACACCCAAAAGGGCAGAGAACACAGGCCCAGCAAATCTGTCACAGGTCAGCTTATGTTCTGACTCCTGTCTTTACTCTGCTTCCCCAAAGAGACCAAACTGTGGCCATTGTTCAAGGTTCCTGGCTGGTGCTTTGAATCTAGGTGCAAGCGCTGCATCCTCTCCCTCAGGTTGCACAATCCAGGGTATTTTTATCATCCATCCTTGATCTTCAGTGTCACCCAACACCAGCAGTGAGTCACTTCTGCAGGGAAGGGAAAAGGAAGGTTCAAAGGTGAGAGCTGAAGAAAGGAAGTGACTCAGTCTCAGGGAAAGGGAAGACGCAGGGGTCTTGCCTTACTCCCCAACCAGTGCGACCAGGCTAGGATGGAGTTGCTGGCACCCACAGCTGTTGATGGGTGGTTAGAGAATCTTCCAGAGCTCAGTGCCACTGTTATAGTCTTGTCCTGCCTGCCTCTGCACTGCCTTTTCCCCTTCATGCTCCCATGTGGGATGGCCTATTTAAAACATTACCCTTACTGTTTGCTTGTTGGTGCTTACCAGCAATACTGTGTAGTCTTGTATTGCTGATCTCATCCTAGCAGAGAGTTTGTCAGCATGACAGTGACCCACAGCCCTGTGCTTCCCTCCACCTCACCCTTCCCCAGTCCTGCCCTGAAGGGAGGCTGACAAGTAGTTCTTTCTCTGGAGAGTTCAGAGCTCCGTCAGCAGTCAGAAAGCAATAGGAATAGTCTCCCAGGCGAAAAGCAGAAGCCAGAGGTGGGGCTGAGCTCTGCCAGCCAATTGTACTTCACTTTTGATTTGTTGCCAAGCCACATGTCCTGCTTCCAGGTGTCCCCAAGGAGAAGGTCTCAAGTCATGTGGCCAGTGCAGCCGTCATGACTGTCACAGGATGAGGACTGTGGCTAACAGGAATTTCGGCTGCTTGATTCTTCTTCTTCCCTCCCTCATTGGCACATATAGAAAACTGCAGTGCTCCTTAGGTGAGCGCGGAGAGGCTAAGACCTTTCCAGATGGAGAGAAAGTAGGTGCTGCCAGTAGGTTGGGTGACTAGGGAACGTGCCATAAACCACCCAGGACTGGAAATCCTGTCTTACCTTGACACTGGAAGGTTGGGGTGTTCTGATATATGTGAAAGCCACCTTATACAGTGAGAAGTGTAAATATAGATGTGTTGTTTAGACTGGAAGAATTAGGTTAATTTCTGAATTGCCAACATAGGATCACTCCTTGGTCTTTGGGCAGAGATCAAGTATAAACCATTCCATATACCAGCCCTTGGTGTTCCCAGCACAGGCACAGCCCTGGGCTGGACAGCTAATTCTTGAGGCTGAGCAGGTAGTTAGTTATCTGTCACCACCTCACATGTTAGAGTACTTTTGCCCAGGTTTTATAAGATAGAGTCAAGCCAGGGCATGGTAGTTTCAGGACACAGGACTACACAGAGAGACCCTGTCTCAAAAACACAATAAATAATTGTTATGTGGTGGCAGCACACACTTTTAATCTTAGCACTAAGGAGACAGAGGCCAGCCTGGTCTATAGAGCAAGTTCCAGGACAGCCAGGCCTACACAGAAAAACCTTGTCTCAAAAAAACAAATAATAATAACATTAGCAACAACAACAATATGGTTCAGCAGGTAAAGTAGCTTTCTGCCAAGCCTGGTGTCCTGAGCTGGGTCCCTGGGATTCATGTGGTAGGAGAGAATTGGCTCCTTCCTACAAGTTGTCCTCTAACCTCACATGCTGTGGTTTGTGTGTGCATACACATAAATAAATGTAGAGGGAAATGGCTCAGTGGTTAAGAGCATGTGTTGCTCTTACAGAGAACCTAGGTTTATTTCCCAGCCCTATGTGGTGGTAGCCCTGTCACTCTAATTCTAGGGGACCTGATGCTCTCTTCTGGTCTCTGCTGCCACCAAGCATACACATGATTCACAGACATCTCTGCAGGTAGAATTAAATAAATAAATAATAACAATCCAATATTGTAACATAAGTATTTTAAAGAATTGTAAAATTTCAAAAGAAAATGAATCTGTGAGTTCAAGGCCAGCCTGGCCTACAGAGAACTCCAGAACATCTGGGGCTATACAGAGAAACCAAAGGAAAAGAATAAGAAAAAATAATTTAAAGAGTAAAACACAAACAGTGAGGAATGTATAATAATAACTGATAATCTGAAAATCTACATGTGAATGCAGAGGGAAACTGGTATTTTACTTTCCCTGGAAACCCTTGAAGGCATAGGCAAGTGGACACCATTTGTGAGATCTGCTAGCTGTGAGGACGACAGGTGAGACTTCACTTTCCATTGCTGTGATTAAGACCATGACCAAAAGCAGTGACTTGGCATGGAAAGGGTTTATTTCATCGTGCATTTCCATGTCGCAGTCTGTCACTGCGGGAACCTGGGAAGAGGAGCTGAAGCAGAGGTCATGCAAGAATGCTGCTCATTGGATTGTTCAGCCTTCTTTCTTATTCAGCCCGGGGACCTCCTGAGTAGGAGAGACAGTGCACAGTGGACTGGACCCTCCCACATCCACATCCATCATTACTAAGAAAATATCCACAGGCTTGCTTCCACGCCAGTCTGATGGGGGGCATTTCCTCAGATGAGATTCCAGCCTCTTCCCAGATGACTCCAGCTTGTGTCAAGTTGACAAAAGCAAACCTAACCTAAGCAGCAAGGGCTCCAACAAGGGCGGGCAAGGGACCTCAGGACCAAACTGAAGCATGATTCCAGGTGATGGGTGTATAATAAGAACAGAAGACAAGCAACTAGAAGGCAGCGGCAGGAAGATCCCTGATTCCAAGGCCAGCCCGGTCTGCAGAGAGAGTTCCAGGACAGAGTCCAAAGCTACACAGAGAAACCTCATCTCAGAAAACAAATAAATGAATGAATGAATGAATGAATGTCAAAAATTTTGCTGAGCTGTGGTGGCACATGCCTTTAATCCCAGCACTTGGAGGCAGAGGCAAGTAAATCCACAGAGTGAGTTACAGGACAGCCAAGGTTACACAGAGAAGCCCTGTCTCGAAAAAACAACAACAAAGAAAAATTCTGGCAATTAAAAAAAAAGTATATTAAAAACATAGGGAACCCTTATGTGAGGCTAGTGATCTCTGTGACTTTGAGGCCAGCTTGGTCTTCATAGCAAGCTCCAGGTCAGGTCAGCTAGGGCTGCTACATAGTGAGACAGTGAGACCCTGTCTCAAATATATGTGTGTATGTGTGTGCGTATACATATATGTATATGACTCATGAAATAGCTCAGCAAATAAAGGTTCTTACTGCCATGCCTGAACCCACATGGTTGAATGAGAGAACTGACTACCAAAACTTGTCCTCTCCTCCATACATACATCCAACAAACATACATACACAATCAATCAACAAATGAATAAATAAGTATAATTAAAGACTATCAGGATAGGGCAATGGACCAGTCGGTGAAGTTCGATGTCCTCTTCTGACCTCAGGCGCTTGCACCCATGTGTACTTACCCATAAAGATACAGACACACACACATAATTGTAAATAAAATACATCTTAAAAGAGTCATGCTTCACACCTATACTTCCGGAGGCAGAGATCGGGGGTCCATCCAGCCCTTCTACCTGTATCAGCAAGTCTGGGTTCAGTGAAAGAGCCACCTCAACAATAAGGTAAATAGGAATTGAGAAAGACTCCCAACATGGCCTCTGGCCTACCTGCTGTACACACACGCACACACACACACGCACACACAATACACATATCAAGGAATAGCCAGGCGTGGTAGCTTGTGCCTGGGACCCTAGCACTGGTGAGGCAGGAGGATTGGTGTGGTTTAAGGCCAATGTAGGTTACAGAGTCAAGGAAGAATCTGCCGTGTTGACTTTGGCAGCACATCCACTGAGACTGGAAGGACACAGAAGCAGCAGCTAACAGATGAGTGCTGTCTCTGAGGGAAACCTGGAGTACCCTGGACCAGTAGTGAGGAGCGGTTGGCTCTTTAGAAGAGGAAACGGTGTGTTGGCACTTACCTGCAATCAGCAGCCGCAGCAGGAAGCTGGAAGAGGTCAAGCAAGGTGATTGTGAGTTCAGGGCTGTCCGGGACTTCCGTGGTGAGATTCCCATCTCAAAAGACTGAAACAAAACTAAACCAAAAGAAAAGAAACAGAAACACTGTTCTGTGAGCTGTTTCAGTTTGCCCTGCCCTTGCAGAGACGGGCTGACACATCCCAGGTAAAATACATTATACTTGCTGGGCGTGGCAGTGCACACCTTTAATCCCAGCACTTGGGAGGCAGAGACAGAAAAAAAAAAGAAAAAAAGCAACAACAAAACCCAGTATCCTCAAAGGCAAGCCCGCAGGAACTTTGGTTTCCAGGCATCTGGACGAGTTGGAGGCAAACACTGGCAAACCCTCTGAGAATCCCTTAAGAGCCTCTGTTGAAGAGTGAAGGACTCAAGGTGGATCTACTTCTACCCTTCTAGAAGTGTCAGAGGTGGGACTGGCATGGCCTTGAAAGGAAGTACCTGAGCAGGGCAGAGCTCAGGAGGGGAAACCCCAGCCCTGCCAGAGTGGCACCTGGCCTCTAGTCCCCAGAGGGCATCCCCTCAGCCTCAGGGGATTTCGGTATTCAGTGGAAAGGGAGTTCTTGACTGAGGCTGGAAAATGCTGGCTTACAAAAAATGAAACCAGCTCATTTTTCCTCTGTAGTCCTCAGTTCAAAATGCCAGCTTCTGTGAACTGCTGATGTGAAAGGCAGCATATTAAATCTAGCCTTGCTGTGTCTATTTTTCTAGAAGCACCTCTTAAAATAAATTTTTTTTAAAGATTTGTTTATTTGTTATATATCCAACATTCTGCCTCTATGTATGCCCACATGCCAGAAGAGGGCACCAGATCTCATTACAGATGGTTGTGAGCCACCATGTGGTTGCTGGGAATTGAACTCAGGACCTCTGGAAGAGCAGTCAGTGCTCTTAACCACTGACCCATCTCTCCAGCTCCTTAAAATAAAATTTTTGAGAAACACTATCTTGTATTCCAGGGAGGCAACTCTTTTAAGAGCTCAGGGAACCGGGTGGTGGTGGGTGGCGCATGCCTTTAATCCCAGCACTGGAGGCAGAGGCAGGCGGATCTCTGTGAGTTCGAGGCCAGCCTGGTCTACAAGAGCTAGCTCCAGGACAGGCTCCAAAAGCTACAGAGAAACCCTGTCTCGAAAACCAAAAAAAAAAAAAGGAGCTCAGTAAGCCTGGTGTGGCGGCACAAGTCTATAATCCCAGTGTCTGAGAAGCAGAGACTGGGGGATTGCAAATTTGAGGCTAACCTAGCTTGCATAGGTAGCCCAAGCCAACCTTGCCTACATAATTGGACTTTGTTTAATAAAGTCAGGGGAAGTGTGGGAAATTGTGTATGAGAGAGAAAGAGGAAGAGCGCATGAGAGAGGGTGCACGCGTGTGTGGAGGCTAGAGATAGACACTGAGTGTCTTTCCTCTGTCTCTCAAACCCTGTTTGAGGCAGGGTTTTTCACTGAACCCTGAGTTTACAGATTGGCTAGACTGGCCAGCAAACTCCAGGGATCCACTTGCCTCTACCGTCCTGCCCAGTGCTAGAGTTACAGACACGTACTGCTTTTGCTAGCATGTATGTGAGCCTGCATGAATGTATGTACCACATGAATTCAGGAGAGCATCCAATCCCCTGGAACTGGAGTTACAGGCTGTTTTGAGCTACCACAGGGTGCCAGGAGCCCAAACCTGGGTCCTTCTGCAAAAGCAATCAGTGTTCCTAACCACTGAGACACCTCTCTACCCGCATATGCCCAACTTTCGCTTGACTGCCTGGGCATCTGAACTCAGGTCTCCGAGTTTGTGTGGCCAGCATAGCACTTCACTGGGCCATGTTCTCATCACTGAGGTGGGAGGTTTTTTTGTTTGTTCATTTTTGTTTTTGTTTTTCAAGAGAGGGTTTCACTGTGTAACAGTTCTGGCTGTCCTGGAACTCTCTCTGTAGACCAGGCTGGCCTTGAACTCACAGAGATCCACCTGCCTCTGCCTCCCCAGTGCTGAGATTAAAGGCATGCACGACCACTGCCCAGTGAGGTGGGAGAGTTTTAGCTAAGATGTTGCTCCAGCTTTTAAGTGTATGTTGAATGACTTGTGCTTATCATCTAAGATCTTTGGGTGACCATTTCTTCATCTTTAAGGTGAGGGAAATGACTCCTATTTATAGGGTTGTTATGAAAATGAAAGGAAGTAATGTATATGAAGAGCTTAGCCCAGGAGAAGCACCATTGTCTACACTCAATAAAAAGGTGTCTGGCTCAGTGAGGTGGCTCCGTGAGTAAAAACACTGGCTGTATAACAGAACCCGTGTGAGGGTGGGAGAGAGAACTGCCGCACACGCGTCCTCTGACTTCTGCCTGCGCCATGGCATCCACATACCACACAATAATAACAATTTTTAAAAATTAGAGATATACCAGCATAATTGTGAATAGATCCCTGAAAAGGATGCATAGTCTCTCTAGATAGCAGGGTAGGTATTTGAGAATTAAGCACGTAATTCACATTGTTTTGAGTTTTTTGTTTTATTTTATTTTTGTTTTTTTGAGACAGGGTTTCTCTGTGTAGCCTTGACTGTCCTGGAACTGACTCTGTAGACCAAGCTGGTCTTGAACTCATAGAGATCCACCTGCCTCTGCCTCCTGAGTGTTGGGATTAAAAGCATATGCCACCACCTCCTGGCCATTTTTAAAATAATTTGAATAATATCTAGAAAAAGAGGTATGTTATACCAGCACAAATTAATAGCAGGGAGGGCCAAGAGAGCTGAAATTTTCTGGATATAGTGGTACATGCCTTTAATACCAGCACTCTGGGGGCAGAGACAGGTGGATCTCTGTGTCTGAGGTTAACCTGATATACAGAATAAATTCCAGGACAACCAGGGCTAAACAGAGAAGCTCTGTCTCAAAAAAGAAGGGAGGGAGGGAGAGAAAAAGCAAAGCCAACAATAAAAGCAAAGCTGGCTAAGCATGGTGCGTACACCTTTAATCCCAGCAGAGGCAGGCGGGTCTCTGTGAGTTCCAAGACAGCCAAAGCTGTTAAGCAGAAAAGCCTTGTCTCGGAAAATAAATAAATAAATAAATAAATTAATTAATTAATTAATAACCCAAAGCTGAAATTCAAGGACTGAGTCTTGAATAATAAGTTATGACTGGCATAAAGGACTTTTATTTGTTTGAAACAAGAAAAAAAAACCTAGACCTTGTTGCTTAGACAGAGTAACACTGGGCAGTGACAAAGGGAGCAAAATGTGCTGGAACTGTATCTGTTTCTACATCAGGACAAATGATTGTCAACCCAGGAAGAGCCACACAGGGCAGAAATCCTGCTTTCACTTCCCTTAGGCCACATATACTGTGCCCCCAGAAGAATTCAACAGCATAAGTAGCAGACGAGAGGCGTGTTCATCCGAGGAGTGGAGGAGATGGGTGCCAGCAGACTGAAGCATTGGAAGTTCAGGCTGCTAAGAGCATCTTGTGCTTTCTGGACCAGTAAGCTCGTTATCACTCTCAGAAAAAGTCTGAACTCAATTATTCAGTAAGGACCTTTGAATGGTCCTGGGGAAACAACCCCAAGAGACGCAGTGAGGCACGGTGCTCACCTGTCTGGTAAGACAGAAGACGTGCCATGACCTTGCCTGGGCAGCGTTCAGTCAGACGTCGTGAATGTGCTCTGACATCACAGGCAAGATGGAAAAGTCCAGAGAGCATACAGGAGGGTAATGGGAAAGGTGGATTTATTTTTAATCGGTTGGATGAACATACCCAAAAAGCAATGTTGCCCATCTCTCTGCCCAGCCCAGGACTTTTCTCAATTTAATCAACCGCTGAGTTAAGAATGTCGATAGCAAATCAATCGATTATGTCAGGGATGTGACGTCAGGAAGGAATGCCGAGATGGTGGATGCCGGAGTCAACTTCAGAATCATCTGAACTGCCTGAAACTCTAACCAGATAATGTAGAGTTCTGCCCTTAGCTTCAAATAATCCACCGCACACACTGGAGAGGAGAGGCGGGTAGCCTCTGGGAGAAAACCTGAGTAAGATCCCGTTGACAGAGGGAGTGCTGTATGAGTCGGTAGTGATGAGGTTACAAGGAAAGACAGTTTGATGACAGTTTTAATAGAAATAAACCGCCCCAGACAGGAGTGATCACAGAGCCTCAGATCTGCACTGGTTAGACCACATACTGTATTTGTTCCCACACATGCCACTTCACTTCCGGACATGACACTCTAGCTTTGACGAGCTCCAGTGAATCCCAGGGAGGGTGGCTTGAACGGATGGAGGATTTCAGAACCTTGTCAAGAATGTAGTTGAAAGTTAGGGCCACATATCCAAGAAAAAGAGGCTGTTGATTGAATTCAAGAACAGCCTCCGGGGTGCGAAAGGCTGCCAGGGAAAGATGGATTAAACTACTGGGCTGCGTAAAGGCTGGTGGTTTGAGAATTGCAAAGGCAGATTGCAAGATGACCTGGCCACCATCTCCCGGAGTGGAGCAAAAGCCTTGATTTTCTTTGCCTTTAACCCGGCGTTCTCGGAGCACCAATAGTTGACCAGAACCTGAAGCGTTTGCTCCTTGTCTCCCTTTCAAGCCAGTCTCAGATCTCCTTTCAAGACCTCTGTAGGTCTGGCAGTGGTGGCGCACGCCTTTAATCCCAGCACTCAGGAGGCAGAGGCAGGTGGATCTCTGTGAATTTGAGGCCAGCCTGGTCTACAAGAGCTAGTTCCAGGACAGGCTCCAAAGCTACAGAGAAACCCTGTCTCGGAAAAGAGAGAGAGGAGAGAGAGAGAGAAAAGAAAATTGCCATTATTTGGAGCAGGGGCAAAAAAAATCAAGACCTTTGCAGATCTGGCCAGGGGCAACTGGACTCTGGGCCCAGGATAAAGGCAAACAAGTTTCTGTTAGCCATCGCCGTTCTTGCACTGTTAGATACTGCCTTAGACTCATCTCACTTAAATATGAGCGTGACTCTGCTACACACCTGGAATCCCACTACTCCAGAGGTTGAGTTAAGATGAGAGCAATATGTGTTCAAAACCAGTCTGGGGGTTTGACAGTGGGGTGCTGAGATACCCCAACAGATAAAGTCAAATGCCACAAAGTCTGATGGGCCTGAGTTTGATCCCTGGGCTTCTGGAAGAGGAGGACCAGCCCCTGCGAGTTGTCCTCCGACTTCTATATGCACACACACACACACACACACACACACACACACACACACACGCGCGCGATAAATGTGATAAAATTAAAGACCAGCCTGGGCTACCTGGCAAGACCTTGTCTCAAAAAAGGAAAGAGAAAGGTTGTCATTTGCCAAGGTCACCTGTGATACTTGATACTCTGCCTCATTGAGCATGCTCCTGGATCCATATCCCCTAGGCCTCCCAGTGGCTGTGGGTCATGTCCCCCCAGAAGTCCCTCTTCTTCCCAGCCCCCCTGCCTTATCCTCTATGGAAAACTCAGGAAGAAAGCCCAGCTGAAGAATTAGGCCATGCTGCCGAGCACACTACTTATTTTTTTATGACTAAGATTAAGCTGACAACCATGCAAAACATTGCAAACCTGTGTTGGCTGCAGATTTAATACCTCACCCAGCCCACACAAATAATTCATGCTTCTGCATCGATGTCCAGAAAAAACAAATCAGCAAAAAGCTGGGCTCCTGCGCGTGTGAAGCAGCCGCCTTTCCACCGAGGCAGTATGCCGGAAATACCCAGGCTCCAGGAATGCAGATCTAGCATTTTGAGATTCTTTTTTTTTTTAAAGATTAAAGTATGTTTTCTCAAATGATTGAAGGTTGGTGGGAGGTGTAAATGTGGGCACTTGTCACATTAATTCTTCAGATGATTAAGTTTTTTGCTGCTTCTTGAAAGCTGTTTGCAGTTGGGTTTGATGTCCCCGTTCTGGGTGAGTGTGTTGTAGCAGTTACCAAGGTGACTTTAGCTGACTTTCAACAATTTATTTTTCCCTCCAGCTTGAGACTCTAGCCCTGTGAGCTGTGTGATTCATCTCTACCAGCCCCCACCCCATCTCCCATGGCTATTCATCAGCATTTTTGCCTGGCCCCCTGAGACCGGGATCCTCCAGAAGGTCCCACCCAGCAGGCCAGGCCTCAACGCCACTGGGCAGCATGGCAGCATAAGGGTAGAGAACCTGTCGTCAGATGTAAGGCACATCCTGGCTCTGCTATGTAACTCTGTGGGGCTTGCTGGGGCTGGTGGTAAAGCGTTTGCCTAGTATGCATGAGCCTCTGAGTTTCAGCCCCAGTACTTCCAAAAGTAAAACTGTGACCTTTAGGTTGTTTCAGCTCACTTCTATTTGTAAAAGGGCTAAGAGAGCGTCCATGCTTGTGTGAGGACCTGCTGAGTGACTGTGCAACAGAGAGCCTGGCACAGAGGAAACCTTGACAAACGGCTGCTCTCATGTCCTGTATTCTGCTCTTGTTTGGGCCCCAGAAGCACCCCCATATGACCTTTGAACCCATCAGTAGTGCCTGAATGAGATGTGGGGTTATCCTCGGAAGGCCAGCATAGAAGGTGATCAGATGTTCACAGTTCATCAGCTGGCCTGCCACAGACATGCTCTTTGGCCTTGGATATGTCCCCTCTTTGAAAAGGAAAGAGGTAAATTAAACAGATTGAGTTTCTTTCCAAGCTTGAAATACTGTGAACTTCTTGGCCAGTGTTTGTCTTCTTCACAGGTCTTGTGAAAGTGCTTGCCAAGGGAAAGGTAGTTCCCAAGGCAGCTTTGGGAAACTGTAGGAGGGGATGCCTTGGTGACAGAGCAGTCACATCTAGGGTTGTATCCACCTGGGGAGAGGAGCGAGCTGAGCCACTGCCTTGCCAGTACAGCCGTGCTCTCTGTGGGGAGGGGCTCTGCCTGTCAGCTGAGCCTCTGTGCTCACTACCTTAGTAAGATGAGGCCTGCACCTGAGTGACTGTCCAACCCAGATGTCCTGAGTAGCTCCCGCCTGCTGCTTGAATGATGTAAAAACAAACAAACAAACAAACAAACAAAAATGATCCTTCCCTAGTTTTTTGATGGACACAAATTTTTCAAACAATTTTTGAAGAATTGTTCTGGGTTTCACAGCCCAAACCAGAACCCCGCCTTTTGAATGCTGTCAGTGGATGACCCTCTTTTCCTGCTGGGTAAGATTTGGGAGGTCAGTAAGGACAGCTGAATTTGAAAAGCAAAACTTAGAATGGCAAGGGACCCAGTAGCCCAGCTGTGGGTGGGACCAGATGTTGGTGAGGAGCTGAGCTTGAGAGAGCAGGAGTGACAGCTTAGTATGGCCAAGGTCACCGTCAGGAGGGATCTAGTTTAGGACTTCCATATATGCACACACAACACAACACATATCCACACACATGCATCTGACTCGTAAGGGCCCAACATTCACCCCTCAGCAAGGGTTGCACTGCCTTGCCTGCCCTATGCAGGGTGTGCTTGCTCAGAGCAGCTAGCTCCTAGAGCTGCTGTTCCATGTCAGCCTTGTAGAGCTCAAGGCAGGAAAAGAAAGGCTTCTCAGAGCACCTGTTGATTCCATGAGGCAAAACAGGCCACTGTGATGTGAACTTGTATATGTGTTGGCCAAAGATGTGGACTCTAGAACCTGACTGACTTCAGGCCAAACACCAGCTCCACTTCTTCACTGGCTACTCAACCTGAACACATAACTTAGCCACTCCAATTCCAGTGTGCCCACCCCATGGGGCGTCGGGAGGCATGGGCAACCAGTGAGAAGTGCTTGCCACCTGCTGGCCCTTGGCTAGTGCATCGTGAAGGGTGTTACCATAGTTAACAGGCACCGTAGTTGCTAACCAGGAACTTGGCCAGAAAATCCCATTTGCTCCTCCCAGTGGTTTTCCCCATGTGCTTAATCTGTCCCTTGCTTGCCTCACAGGAGCCGCAAAGACAGCTTAGAAAGTGACAGCTCCACGGCTGTTATCCCCCACGAGCTGATCCGTACCCGGCAACTCGAGAGCGTACATCTGAAATTTAACCAGGAATCAGGGGCCCTCATTCCCCTCTGCCTAAGGTGAGCTGAAGCACTCCATTCCACAATACCCTGCAGGCCTCAGAGCCTCCACAGTCTGCCTTCCCCCAGCACAGATCAGCTGAAGCTTTGAGCTAGCCATTTTTACAAGACTGGTATCTGTGGGCAGTTGATACCAGAGTGGAGTCCAGGGCTGGATGGAAGAGAGCCTCAGGCAGTTCTGTCCCAGGACTCTGTGTCACTGGCCCCTGCAGTATCCTCCCGCATCCAAGCCTCTGGGTAGCGCAGGTGATTGAGAAGTCTTCAAGCAGAGTAGTGAGGCCAGATGGCCCAGCAGATTGTCACTAGAGAACGACTGTTCTTGGGGGGGGGGGTGAGACAGGGTTACTCTGTAGCCTTTGGAGCCTGTCCTGCTCTTACAGACCAAACTGGTCTTGAACTCACAGAGATCCACCTGCCTCTCCCTCCTGAGTGCTGGGATTAAAGGTGTGCGCCACCACTTGGCTCTGTTCTGCATCTCTTAACCTAGAGCAGTCGTGAGTCATAGAGCACATCCCCCATTGGTCTGTCACCTGGGTTGCTATTTTGTTTTGTTGGAATTGGTCTCACTACTGACTGGCCTTGAACTCGCAGAGATCCTCTGCCTCTGAGAGCTGGGGTTAAAGGTGTGGACTCCACACCTGGCTTTCTTATCCTCTGGTTCTCTGAGAAGTTTCAAAGTCAGAGTCCATGGAGAGTAGACGCTGAGAATACTCTTTTGTCCAGGAAGTGTCCTTCAGCTGTGCTTCCCTTTGGGAGGTCGAGTGACCAAGAGAGTCTAGGATGGCCCCTGCCATCCCATAAGCTAAGACACAGGTCATACTGAGCTGTCAGGAGCAGGAGGGTTCTGATAGGTTGGACTCTCCTCCTCTCGCTTGGTGCTTTTCCCATGCAAGACTCTCAATTCTTTACAAACTCAGTGGCCAGCCCAGCAGCCTCCTGAGGGGACCGGAAGCCCAGCTGTGGCTCTTCTGCTATGAGAGTCAGAGCACCCGCCTTGTGGCCAGGATGCAGGTCATGCAGAACACTGCACTAGGCTGGATCTCTTACAGCTGGCTTCCTCCAAACCCTTGGAGTTCCATCCTCACTTTGCTAGCACAAGAGGCAACAAGAATCCCCCTAAACTCAAGGGCACAATGACAAGGAAGAAGGAATTGCATGGTTTGAACACTGCCCACGGATCCAAGAGCCAGGAGAAGTGGGGGTGAGCCAGCCTTAGCCAGCTGCCCAAGCAAAGGTATCCAGTGGTCTGAGTGAACAGGACCTCCCAGGGCCAGCATTAGACTCCAGCCCTGTCCTCCCTTACAGCTGCTTGGGAACAGGCTTGGGCTTTTTGCCTGGGGAAGGGTTAATCCAAAGCAGCCTGAGAATGCAAAAAGCTGGTTTTGCCTCCTTTGCCACTTGGCATTCCTGCCCATTGGTTGTCACTGCCTGCCCTTCCTCCAAGTACATTTCCAGTCTGGGAATTCATGGTGTCTTCTTGCAGTTACCCTGCTTGGCTTCAGACTTTTGTTTTGTTTTTGTGTTTTTAAAGATTTGTTCATTTCCTCTAGGATAACTGCTTAAACGTTACAGGAAAGCCCAGGAACAAGTGAAAGATCCTACACGGGCACATAAGTGTCTGGCTGGGAGGCATGAGTCTTCCTTCACTCAGGACATGGTGCTGGCACACTGCTAACATCCCTCCTTAGCCTCGGTGTTCTCACCTGCCCTGAGGCCCTTTGAGCTCTGGCCTAGACTGTCCACTGGCTAGGGACTCTCAGAAAGATGCCGTTAGCATCTAAAGGTGGTGCCTTTCGCTAGTGTGCTACAGTGCTACAGTGAACATGTTTGGTTAAAGTCCTGTTAGTGGGCAACTGAGCCCTCAGGAGGCACTGGCCAGGTACTCTGCCTTAGGGAACTTTGCTCTGTAGCCCCAGCACTTTGGCTAGGGACTGTGTTTCTGAGCCCAGATCCCAACTGTCTCCGTGTTCCCATCTCCAGGGGCAGACTCCTGCATGGCCGGCACTTCACCTACAAGAGTATCACAGGTGACATGGCCATCACATTTGTGTCCACGGGAGTGGAAGGCGCCTTTGCCACTGAGGAGCATCCTTACGCAGCTCATGGACCCTGGTTACAAGTGAGAAGCGTTCTTTTTCCCTTCCTTTTTTTCCTCCGGCTCTCTACCTGCTGCCTACCCTCCCTCCAAGGGCAGCTCCCTATGGCACCCATCCTGGGCTGGGAGCTGCCTCTTAGGTTCAGAACCTGAGCTCTGTGTGTGGTTATGGAGAATGGGTGCTGCTGCTGTCTTCACAGCTCCAGGGCACTTCCTGACCTTCTTCCACCCCCTGATGCGAGTTTCTCTGATGACAGTGGAGATCCAGGTGCAAGGGGTAGAAACAACTCATACCCTGGGAAATCAAGATACAGGAAGGACATTGGAGGGTGAACAATGTGTGGCTGCCACCCTATATGGGCTATATAGTGACTATATGGAAACCTCTCCAGAATTCATAGGAGTGAACTAGGTAACCACACTGGGCAGGCCACAGTGACCAGAGCTACCCCATGAGCTCCTGATAGAAACCATTGGGCAGAACCTGATAGCTTGTCCAGAGTGCTGTGATTGTGCTCTCCTGCTTGGAACAAGGATCAGAACTGATGTTGAGTACAGTGCTTGGGCTAAGAACCATCTGCCTCTTTCCAGTGCCTACCCTGCCCAGGGCTCCAAGGGTCACTAGCCTAGTCTGCCATGTTCCTTTCTTTGCTTTTGGCTGTGTTTTAGAATAGGGGAAAAGCAATTTACCTCCTTTCACAAGAATATCAAGAAAAGGAAGCAGGACCAGATGTGTTAATGCACACTTTTAATCCCAGCACTTGGGAGGCAGAGGCAGGGGCATCTCTATGAATTTGAGGCCATCCTGCCCTACAGAGAGAGTTCCAGGACAGCTAGGGCTACAAAGTAAGACCCTATCTAAAAAAAGAAAAAAGAAAGGGATTTGGGGCTGCAGAAAGAGAATCTGACCTCCATTCGAAAGGTCACCAAGCTTTGTGATGTGTTAGAGAAAGCATGGGGGAATTACAGTAAAAAGGAAGAGAATTACACTGGCTTTGTGGGTAACCCAGTCTGGGGTCTGCACTACTCTTTATATGGTATGTTTTTGTCTGCGTGTGTCTGCTTGTAGCTGATGCTCTCCTCCCTCACAACAACCTCCTCCCTGCCCCCACCAAAGTCCTAACCCTTAATTAAAACAAACAGCAAACAAAGACTACCAACCACTCTAAGCCCAGAGGTAGGAATGGGAGCTAGTGCTTTAGGGATATTGTGTTCCATAAATTATCTTGCTTTTTTCCACTGTTGTTATTACATTGTTTCATAACAAAATTACTTTGAACCATAAAGTTATAAATACATTTTAAAAGTCCCACTTGGTAACATTAGATTTCTGTCTGTGTGGTGTTGATAGTTACTGTAGCAAAAGCTCCAAAGTGTAACATTTGAAATGAGCCCAGTACAAGTAGACACGGCCTCCCATACCTCCATTCCCTTCCCTAGCCATGTCCCAAGCTGCCACCCATCTCTACCGACAACCAGACAGACTAGTATGGAGGTGGGAGATGGGGATCCCCACAGGTGACCCCAGCCACACAGAGTCCACAGATCATCGTTGCAGTGGATAATGTCATGCTAGCAGGTCTCAGCAGAAGTGTCCTGGGAGTTCATGAGTGTGTGTGTTGCAGTTCAAGCACATTTGGAGGGAATTAAGAACTAGAGTCTCCCTAGACTAAAGAGTGTCTGCTCTTGTATTCCGTCATTTTTTTGTAGAGCATCTTCCCAGCCTGAGGGCTGAGGTGGTCAGCATCTCTGGCTTTCTGCCTGCTTAGGAACCTGGGTTCCCAGAAGATTCAACAGTTATCTGGCACCCCTCAGTCTTCTGGAAGGAAGCCTCCTGCACCCCACCCAATTCCCAAGTTCTTAATCCCCTGGCTGCTAGTGTTCCTGTTCTTGGCGACCCCCCTCCCCGACACACGTTGGCAGCACCCCCAGTGAGTTGGGGCATTGGGCACCCGCTGCCTCCCAGCACTTGGGTCCCCTCCTGTGAGCTGTTGCCCAGGGAACCAGGGAGCGGTGGGAACGAGTTGCTGGCCTCGGCATGTTTCAATCAAGTTGCTGTGCTGGGAGCTGCTTAATCAAAGGCCTGTTACGGGCTCATTAGTGTGGTCCACCATGGGCCGCCCTCAGGAGAGCTCTGGGAAGGCTGGCTCGGGTCCCGCCCTCCAAGCACGCACCCTTGATCACCGAGAGATTTCTCAGGCTCTTTGCAAGGAGCCCTGGGAAACTCTCCATCTGACCTGCCCCAGCCAGCCGGGTTCTCAGCAGTGAAGCCAACACCCACATCAGCTTCCTCCCTGCCTGAGAGCAGTCAGCGTTTTCTGCATCTGTCTGCTGGCCTAACTTTCCCTTTAGGGTCTTGCCTCTGTGGTCATAGACAGCTCCCCAGCTTGTGGGAACTGGGCTTGTCATGACTTGTGGGCCTCTGGGTTGCCTTGCAAGGACCAGCTGTCTCCCCAGGAGTCTGTAGGACCTGAGGTTCCATTCAGTCACAGATCAAGCCCCGCTGTGCCAAGAAGGGGCCCAGGCCTGTTTGGAGAGAGAACCCAACACCCACAGACCTGCCCCTGCTCCCTACAGGCATCACTCACAGGGTCTGGGGTGTCTCTTTGAGCCTTGTGTGCCCTTGTGTGCCCAGGCCTACTGATGGCAGAGGAGCAGGGGTGACTGAAAGCAGTAAGCATAGGACGGAGAGACCTAAGTTGCTGCTTGAACTGTCCCTGTGGGTCATAGCTGAAGTGGGAGGGGCAGGGAGACTGTCTTGCATCAGCCTTCAGCAGCCTTTAGAGTGCTCACTCCCAGCCTTGGCACCTTGTTCTGGCTGCTAGCCCAGACCTCCTATCTCTGACGGAAGGGAAGACATATTCTCCCCATTCTGGGGAAGGGCGACTGAGAGAAAAAGGGAAGGCTAGAGAGCCAGAATCCTTTTCTGCCCTAGTGGGATGGCCTCAGACCCCATCCCAGGCTGCCACCTGCTCCCCCACTTTCTACCACCTCAGAGAGACCTGAAGAAGAGGCGGGCAAGTATAGTTAGAAACTCACACATCAGGAATTGCTGCAGAGGCAGGAATTGGCTTGAGCCCATACTCTTTCCAGAGAAGAGACCTGGCTGCATCTTTCCTGCCCTGTGTCACCCTTAAGATCATGGAACCTGAAAGCCAAGTCCAGAGCTTCATGAGAAGTCTCCAGACCCTGAAGCAGGCCTGCTCCTGGGGGCTGTGGCATGCTTCTCCCTTGGCCTGTTGTCCTGAACTGTCAATCTTCTGAGCAGAGCCCTGCCCAGCACTCAATCAGTTCAGTCATCAGTTCCTAGGCAGGGCAGTCTGAAGGAGGGAAGCTTCAGTCCCAGAGGTCACAGAGAGGGCAGATCACCAAACACAAGGTTATTTTTTTTTAGGCCCTGCAATGCTTTCTCAGCTGTGTGGTGTCTGACAACTCACCCAGGTGGCGCCCTTAGTCCCAGCCACTCCCCACCGGCCCAATGGGAGGTCTCTGGCTTGGGAGAAGACATCTCACAGCTGTTCCCAGTGGGGTCTGATGTTCCCAGCCAGGCTGGGAAACCACTGCTAAACTCTTCCCAACCCAGGAACATGCTCCCCATACTCCTTCAGCCAAAGTCCTGTGTTCTCCTGTTCCCATGCACCCTTTTGGATTCTTTATAGTGGGCAACCTGGGAGTCCCCAGCTCCGGGCACCCCCTTTCTGATGCCTACCATTTCTCCTGCTGGTGAGCCTGGCTATACCTACCTCCTTTGGAGACTTTGGCTTCTGCCATCTCCAGACCTCATTGTTGAGTCCTGTGCCTGTGAAGGTTTACAGCAACAGTAATTCCCTGCTGTGTCAACAGCTGGAGTCCAAGCCTGCTTCTGGTCACCAAAGCCAACTTCTCACCGCCCACCCAGAGCAGGAAATGAGTGAATGCCCCCCCCTCACAAGTACACGCCTCTGCCCCTCCCAGCACGGGAGTGTCCACAGGCTGTTAGCTGGCCCTTGTCTGCCTGAGATGGGGGAAAGGGGAACAGCAGACCTGAGCCCTTGCGAGTCCCCGCCTCACTGCCATCGAGGGCACCAGAGCTGCTCCTTGGCAGGCCTAGTCTCTGTAAAGAGCACATTTCCTTCCTGGAGAAAAGGAAAGGGAGGGAAAGAAAGCCAAAGTTGCTGGGAAGCAGAACAACGTGTCAACACAAGGAGCAAACAAGGCCCAAGACAAAGTGTGGATTGTCATCGTACCAAAGGGAAGGAATGGCATTGTCAGCCGCTCAGACATCTGTTGACCACAGACCTTGGAATGAGTGTCAGATTTGTAGCCTTCTAGCCCCTGCCTGCAGCGCAGCCGGGCCTGCCCAGGGCAGGCATGGACAAAAGATCACTTTTCAGGTTCCTTTCTGGAACTTGCTGGAACCTGGAGAATTGAGAGGTTGTTGACAGTCCTTTCTCACCACCAAGCCAGGCTGTCTGACTGTACCATACATGGCCTGTGATGTGAGCCCACTGGAGTGAGCTCCCAGCCGAGCCTAGATTCCATTCCCTCCCCAATTGATGGTTCCCTCACAGTCAGTCAAATAGTGGTGGAGCTGCAGCCACTGTTAATTTACCCTGTGCTCACTCCTCCTCTGGGCCTCTTTCCTTACACTTCCTCCTAGTGTGATCTCTTGGGGTGTTGTGAAAATGCTGGTGTTTTTGCATCCCCTTGGTACCCTGTTCTAGGGAGCGGGTAGCCCAGCAGCGCCACATTCTCCAGAGCCCTCCAGGGGAATGTGTCACTCAGATTGGTCCAGGGGCCTTTCCTCTACCATTAGAGAGTGTCTCCTCCCTCCAAGGACTATTTGTACATACTCCTCAGTGTTTTGTCCCAGTTCTTCATGCATGCATGGATGACAGAGTGCAGTGGTCGCTATAATAATTTGTCATTGTTTCTGCCGCTCTTTTCTGGGCTGGAGGAACTGTTGAAATGTGTGGACTCAGAGTGAGGTGTGGCGCCCCATGCTCAGGAGAGAGAGGCAGGAGAGTCTCTGTGAGTTTGAGACTAGTCTGGCTTGCACAGGGAGTTCCAGGACAGCTGGGACTAAATAGAGAGACCCTGTCTCAAAACATTAAAAAAAAAAAAAAAAAAAAAAAAAGACTCAGTGGTACATAGCATGCTTTCCTTTCTAATTAGCCAGCTCGCTTTTTTTGTTTATTTGTTGTTAGCAGCAGTGTGTTTGTGATGTTCGGTTTCCAGCCCTGTTGAAATGAGAACATACATACTCCTGGCTGGGCTTGAGGGTGCTGTTCTTCAGGTCATTGGTAGAAGCGACCATTACCTCGCTACCCCCCATCAGCAGTCGGCCCTGAGTATACACACCTTTAGAGTCAGTGCACCTTCCCCAAACAGGAAAAGAGCATGCTCCATCACCCAGGCAGGCAGGCAGGCACTGCTCTGAAGCCAAGAAGACTGTCTTCTCCTCAGGAGCCAGTCATCTGCACACTGGGAACTAGAGTTACAGCCTGTGCAAAGCACATCACAGGATCAGTGAGGAGACGCAGGGCAGCTAGCACAGAGCCTGCACACAAGGCAGGTACTGCCCCTGGGATTGGTCACTCTCACTGTCCTGTATTACTGTGGCAGAGGCTGGTCGCTCCAGGGAGATGGTTAGCCTCAGGAGCTCCAAGCCTTAGCCCTGCACAGGCTTTTCCCACAGTGGCATCACAACAGCGAGTCTGTTCCCAGGGAGAGCTCCCAGGAGCTGCTCCATCATAGCTGCCTATCTCCAGTATCCTGTCGATAAGATCTGTTAACATTCTCAGCTCCAGCTCTGAAATCTGCAGAGAACAGGGCCTGTTTGTTCAGTCCAAGCTTCTAAGATTTAACTCCCAAAGGAAATTAAATCAGGTGCCTGGAGCTATGACAGTCTGTCGTGTTTCTTTGCCGAGAATGTCACCCTTAATATCATGTGGATCTCATGTATAATTTTTCCCCTTTAATTCTTTTAAAACAATGTGGTTTCCAGCAGAAACCAGCAAATCATCAAAAGTGAAAATGGACAGCTAGGATTTGTCCCCGTTTGGGGGTCTTGTTATCCCCTCCCCCAACAGAGTACAAAATTAAGTTCACACACAGATGGTGCCACACTTAGTGGCAGCTCTGCTGAAAGCCTCCATAACTCAGCAGTGCAGACCTTTGACAGGGGCGCTGGCTTCGGATTGGGCTGTTGGTGGCCTCACCTTCCTGTTGTTGAAAAACACCCTTGGGAGTCTCCTTGGGTGGCCACCATCCTTGGAAGCCCTCCCCCACCCCATTTTACCCCAGTTCCAGACCTGGTTACCATTCTGGAGAAAGACCCTCCCTGTGGATTATTTATGGGTTAGAAATGAACCCAACCTGGCCAGGACTGGAGTCATTGTAATAGAACTGGGTTTGAGCTCTGCTTGTGCTTGTGCTAGCATTTCAGAGATGGCAACAGCCCCGGAAATGCCGGAAATATGAATGTGACTTTATATTACTCAAGCAGACTGGTGATAACTAGTGGAGAACTCGGCTTGGGGGAGGGGACCCATGGGGTAAGAGGAGGAGGGCTCAGACTCCAGGAAGGAAGGCCAGGTGTGACTGGATGTGGCCAAGGACCAGAAAGTGCCAGACAGGCTGGAAAGAGCCAGCCAACCCCCTCTGGGGAGCTTGGAGGAGGGAAGGAATGAGTGCTTTGGATGGACACTCCCCTGGATACCATTTGTTCGTTCTCTCTCTCTCTTTCT